GAACAAAAGTTTGATATTGATAAATTGTGTTGAAACAACACCAGTTTTTTTTTTAATTCAAGGATGCAAAGGATTTGCTTTTCATTTGGCACTTAGTTGGTCTGATCCATACGTAAGGTAAGATGGATAAATGCGTCCTTCTACTAGGAAGAACATTTTCGAACCGGAAATTTTTTGTGAAAAGTTCAAACAATTTGTGCTTTAATAATTGATCTCAGCGATTGAAATAAGTAATGTTTACAGCTGCTGAGTTCAACCGCTTGTAACCTGAAACTATCCAGAACTGTGATTATGCATAAAATTCTAGCTTTCTAAATACAAGCCATTATTAAGTTGATTTCACGGATGAAAGTGTTGATAATATTCTTGAAAATGGGTTGCACCAAGAGATTTTAAACTGTTTAATCTCTTAGTTGTACCTACGGAACACTGCTAGCTAAATCTGGACTCTTAAGGGAGTGGTGTTTACAGAATATGGTCACAACTCAGTTTGACCTGTTGCTATCTGACTGACAACATGTGTGGCGTAATCGGCAGCATACACCTGGCTTGGAGTCTTGCACATTTGGGGAACTCAACAGGGCGTAAGACTAAGGCGAGTTTAAGGAACTCCGCAGTCTTATCTTCTCTGCAGGTGCTGCGCTGAGGACCCCAACACAAACAACGAGGAACAAAATCAGAGGGAACTTCATCTGAGGAAGCAAGGAAAACATTAGGTTGGACACATCCTTCCGAGATATAAAACTACATTATTCAACAAATAGGGAAACCTTGGCTGTGCTGTTTTATTTTTTAAAGTACGCAGGAAGCGTCTAGAGCCGTAAAGAAGTGTCCTCTTGAGTGATCTAGCCAGTTCCTAAGTGCTTTATAACGGAATAGAGCAAAGAAAAAGGCTTCTCCAGTTGTCTTATAATCATGGAATCCGTTGAATTCCCCACGCACTACTTTCAATTTTCTAGACAAACTTTAATTTATTTCCAATGTCGTTAGCATGCTCTATAATCTCATTAAATAGGCTACGATAATCAATCCGAACTCTTGTTAAAATGGTTTAATGAATCTGTTTGGTTGAACAAGACTAGAGATGTCAAAAATGTCAAACCACCAAGGTTCACAAACCATCAAAGTTCAAAATTTGCTAAAGCTCAGCAACTGAAATGGTTCGGCAAGTCGAATTTAACACTTGCCTGAGGCTTTATATAATTTTTAGTCTCAATGTTCAGTGAATTGTTCTCTGCTCACGCTATCATAACGTCAGTCTTGCCTGACAAGGAGTGAAAAGCAGTAAATATGACAAATCAAGAAACTCAAACAAAACAAAACATTGTTTACCATATTGAACGCCTGTAAATGCTCGCACCCGAATGCACTTTAACTCTCGCCAAAAATGGATGGCAGTACCTTGCTGAGATAAAGGTCTTGAAGGAGTTTCGTCTCTTTATTTCGGTTTGTCCCTGCCAACTTGTAAAACGACCTTAAACATAATGGAAGCAGCGATAGCTCACTAATATTAACTACTCTCATTTCTCTTAGGGCTATTGCGGCTGCCGCAACCGATCATGAAATTACGTGGAAGGCAAGAAAAAGATACTAACTTGAATCGCAATATTGCATTATTAT